CATTCAAAAAATCAGATTTGAGCAAAAACACAAAGGAGGTGAGAAAGTTAGCCAGGGTGTCTGGGAAAGCCCATTCAGGCAGAAGAAACAGCTAGAGCAAAGGTCAGAGTGTGTCTAACATGTTTAGAGAATAACAAAATAGCAAAAATGGTAGGAAAGGAGGTCAGAGCAGTAAGACGCCAGATCATTTCTGGCCATGTAAGGACGTTTTAAGGACTTTGGCTTTGACTCTAAATGAAATAAGCTTTTGCAGAAGAGTGACATAATCTGGCTGTCATTCAAAAATATTGTCCTGTGAAATGCAGCCCCCCCCCAAAAAAAAAAAGGTGAATTGATGAATGCAAAGAGCCATGGATAAACATGTACTAAATCAAATTGTTAAGTATAGAATCTGGGTGGTGGGTATATATATATGGGTGATCACTGTTTAATTCTTCCAAGTTTTCTGTGTGTTTAAAACTAAAGAAAAAAATGTAAGGGGTGCCTGGGTGACTCGGTTAAGCATCCAACTTCGGCTGGGGTCATGATCTCACGGTTCATGGGTTCAAGCCCCACATCAGGCTCTGCGCTGACAGCCTGGAGCCTGCTTTGGATTCTGTGTCTCTCTCTCTGCCCCTCCCCTGCTTGCACGTTCTCTCTCTCTCTCTCTCTCTCTCTCTCTCTCTGTCAAAATTAAATAAATGTAAAAATTTATAAGCTATTAAGAATAAAATCTAAATCTAAACCTGGTAATAATACCATAATTTAACTGATATGTATCATTTTATAGAACAATTCTAACATGTCACTGAAAACTGTTCCTAGGAAATTCTGCATGCTAAATCTCATTTCCTCACTAATCTTCATTATGGAGTAGAATATAATTCTTTGGAAAAAATCTGATTAATAAAACCTCAGGTGAAAGTAACCTAAGAATATAAAAACCCTAAAAATTATGTTTTCTATATAATAAAGTAACTCAATGTATAGACAAAATAAAAATGTAACAGTCAAAAGTTTATTCTGTCTCCTGTGTGTTAGAAATCTAGGGGTCTTGGGCCATAGGAGGTAACAGTGGACATGATAAGAAGTAGTCTAATTCTGTGGCTAAATTATGAAAGAACCAACAGGATTTTCTGATGGATTGGAGGTGGAGTGAGAGAGAAAGAGAAATCTAGGATGACTCCAAGGTTTGTGGTTTGTGGTGTGAGCAGCTTGCTGGAAAAATAAGTTTTCTGTGGAAAGCCTACAACTAGAAAAAGTGATTTGGTGGGGGAAAGATGGAGAATACATGTTTGGACAGTTTGAGATGTCAATTAGACATCCAGAGGAGATGATGAGTAGACAGTTTGATGAACGGGGTTGGACTTAAGGAAACAGGATTAACTAGAAATACAACGTTGGGAGTGATCTGCAAGTGTGCTATTTAAAGTCTTAGGATTGGATCCACTTGCCCAAGAAAGTGCGTGTGGAAACACAAGAGGACCAAACCCTGGGACATTTCAACATTAAGTAATTGGAGAAGAAAACAAAGGAGGATTGAAAAGGAACAACCAGTGAGAGAGAAGAAAAGCTAACAGTCAGGTGTTCTAGAAACCATTTGACCTAAATGTTTCAAGGAGGGTGTTTTGATTGTGTGTCAAAGCATTATCAATTAGTTCTCCCTACTCTCAAGTTGTTACTACTTGTTTTTGCTAAAACGTTAAATTAGAAGTGTTTTTAAATCATTCTCCCCAGATAATGACCACTTACTACAAGAGTCTTTAAAGTTTATAAAAGTAAAAACCAAAGCCTAATAGCACTTTTAAAAAAATTTATTGTAAGTTTTGAAGGCAGACGCCTTCTCATCTTTATTTTTTTATGCCTAGCATTTACCCTTAAAGTGAGCATGTAAATGCTAAAACACGAGTCCCCGGACCCTCTTTTATAGCTCATGCTAAGCACACTAAGACTACAGCTGCCCCTTAAATTTTTTTTTTCAACGTTTTTTTATTTATTTTTGGGACAGAGAGAGACAGAGCATGAACGGGGGAGGGGCAGAGAGAGAGGGAGACACAGAATCGGAAACAGGCTCCAGGCTCCGAGCCATCAGCCCAGAGCCTGACGCGGGGCTCGAACTCACGGACCGCGAGATCGTGACCTGGCTGAAGTCGGACGCTTAACCGACTGCGCCACCCAGGC